TCATTTAATTTCAGTTTCCTCGAGTGTGAAAGGAAAGGGTTAGATCTGATGCTTGCTTGCTTGCTAAGTATCCTTAGAGTTCTACGTTTTTATAACTCTACATTTATATGTCTTAATTTTGGCCACAAGAGTTCAAAACACATTATAAATTCCATATGAAATAAACAACTGGTACTGAATATTATACTAGGGTTTTTTTCCTTTGAAAATTAAGTTAAAGAATTGGGATGCTATTCTTGGTGGCAAAATTCTCTTTCTATAACATACTCACTTCCTTATACTGAATTGTTTAAGTCTCTAGGGAATAAATGACACAGATCTTTAAAATTTTACTTTTATCTGGTAACGTTTTCATTACCTGCTGATTTACCTATGCATGTTCAAGTGGCGGATATGAATATTTTCAAAGATTTTTTTCAATGATTAAAAAATCTGTGTCCCAAACTATGTTTGGAGTAGTATCCTTTTATAACAAACTTTAGAAATATCAAATATCATTATTAGTTCTAAAGAGATTGCAAAGTCATTTTTATATCTTAGATAAGCCATCTCCAAATAGAAATATAACAAAGTCCCTGAGGGAGAGACAGGATAGTTTGAGATATTATAATCATCAAAGGAGGTATAGGTTGAAAAGGTTGAGAGACTCTGTCACAAAGAAAAATTATCTGGACACCCCTGGAGATCTTCCATCAAATGGAAGAAGAAAGTTCACAAAAGTTAATTATTAAAAAAAAATAAACCAAATCTAGAACAAATGAATTTTAATAACTACTTTCAAAGAATGATTAATTTGTTCATTATGAATTTCAAAACAAGAGTTTGACATATATATGATATTATGTGAATCTTGAATATTTTCATGAGAGAATTGAGTTCAAGTCTCACCTCTGTCACTTGGATAGGTTCCTTCATTTTTCTGGATTTCAGTTTTTTTATGTGAAAAGAATAGCTAAATCTTTGTTCACTGCCTATAAAGTTCTATGAATATACAATTTTAATATATTTTATGCCAATTTTTGGTGAAAGTATTTTATAGCTTACATATAAAAAGAGCACATAATACTAGAGAGCTAGTATTGTCTTTATATGGTGAATGGAAGTTCCTGAGTTTAAGGTTAGCAGACAAGTCATCAGTACTTTAACTAAGTCTTGCATCAGAATCACCAGTGAGAGAGCATCATCATCCTGGAAATGTTACTCTGTAGATCCAATAGTGTATCTGAGCTTCTGTAGTGTGAGCATTGCTATGCATCTCTAGTTAAGAACTACTGTTCCACATTCTCTCTTGAAACATTTCTTGAGTTGAGATTGCAGACAAAACCTATGCTAATAAGGGAAACAAATACAAAATTATAATTAATATCAAAAGACCACTTCTTTCAGAGGCGTTTTCAGATCAATTCAGTTTTTCTTGTGACTTTCACTGGATCAGAGCTTATAGATCTTAAAAATTTTCACTGTTTTTGCATAAATGTGTGATAATAAAAATAGCAGGTAATAAAAACAGTTTTCACTGAGATAGAATATGCATAAAGAGGAACACACACATTTTAAGTTCTGAATGTTTACATATATAATGTATAATTTTTTATCATTATATATAAATTTGAACTCATATATCTTCTCAAAATCTACTCACTACCCTTTTACCCTTTTTAGAGAGCATCTGCCCTAGGAAACTGACATGAATGACCTATAAAAGCCCCTGTGCCCTCTGGTCAATAGGTATCCTTGTTAAGACATCATAGAAAAGAAGAATGAATTTGATGTATTTTGTTTTTGAATCACTTTTGGCAAGGTCATCATCAGTGACTTTGTCCCTTTACGTGTTCTTTTCCCAATAAACTCTTTATGGCACATTTTTGCTTTTGAATTCTAATAATTGCTCCTTTTCCTTATCCCTTGAGGCATGGCAATAGCTTTGGTACAACTGGCCTCAGTTTGTCACACTACCCCTTGTGGCTTTTCTGTCTTTACACCCTTGAAAATAAACCCTCCTGGAATTATCTAGGCCATCTATTCACTGGGATCCTGACTTATCTGTCTGTTTTGTTAAAGCTGCATTTGAGAGCCAACCCCCCATTTTTTTTTTTAACAAAAATCAGGTTGGGATGGATGAAGATCCCAAACTTTGTAAAACAAAAAAAACTTCTGCTCTGCTAAAAACACCTAAGCATCTGAGGAAGACTGTAATTCAAGCTATACTGAAATTGAGATGGTAGTGGATGTAAGAAAATGAGATGTCTATCTGATCTGATATGGAAATAAACAAGGAGTTGTGAATTTTAGCTAAATACAAACATCAAGTCACAAGGCTGAGGCTAGTAGTGTTTCTTAGCATGCTCCAGAGACACTTGATCTGCAATATTACATTCATCTGGCGGCAGCCCATTAATAGAAAAATAAAGGAAAGCTGGAAGGCATTCCTAGGGGAGAAGCAAAATGATAAAAAGCAATGGAGTGCTGACACATGACAAGAGATGAAAAAGACGCTATCCCTGTGCTTTAGCTAAGTGGTGAGGAAGGTGGACATGACAACTGTCTATAATCATGTAAAGGCTGTAAACTCCAAAAGACAGGCTGAGATTACGACAGGGCAAGGGAGCATTGCTCTGTGTAGAGATGGATTAAAAAGAGAAAAGTTTAGATTAAGTAACAGGACTATCTCCTAATGCAGAGATGGTTTATGTAAAGCTAAATATTACATTCTTTAATCTTTGAAAAAGACCAAAATGAAACAAGTTACAAACAATTTCTTAATATTATATATGTCGATTCCTTATAGCACATCCATCTTTCCACCTGCCTTCCTCTCTGCCTATCAAAATCTATTGATACATCTTGTAAATTCGCCTTTCACAAACATAGGAATAAGAATAATGATTACTACCTGTAATGATTACTGTAGATTTTGTGCTAGACATTTAAGAAGCTTCTTAAATTACTGTAAACATTGTTTTGGAGCAATCAAGAAAACTGAGGATTAGAAAAATTGAGCAACGTTCTATAGGTTGTCCAAGTAGTAAGCAGCAGAACTTATGATATGATCCCTGGGGTTTTCATCTCATTGAATCACTGATAGTACCTTATTACATAGTGAATTTTCATCATTCTATTATTTATATGCCTATATCGTCTCTTTACAAACTCTATGAAGTATTTGGTAGCTAATTAACTTGACTACATGCAATATGTTTAGGTATCTTAGAATAGGTCTGTTTCTGGTTATCAAACTTGCAGGCAAGAGTAGCCACTTGCCAATCTTGAACAAATCATGTGTTCATCATCATTCTAGCTATGAGGATAAGGTAAAGGCTAAATAATCTCATTTTCTTCTCTTCCTAGGTATCATCCATTTTTCACTTTGAAGAAATAATTTCTTCATCAACTACTATATGCAATGCAAATTATTCAATTTATAAAGTTGTCTTTTGAAAGAAATTATGCCATTGGGCTCTTTCATTGAAAAAACATTCATCACCTCTCACACTTCATATCTTTTTCAATTTAATTTAATTTGTAAATACTTGAAGAAAATCATGCTCATGACTAACATTTCAAATACACAGACTACTATGGAGAACAAGGAACCCTGTTTACCTTGCAGTCTTCAACCTCTGTGGTTAGAGGTGAGCATGGCTAACATTTTTTTCTTTTGTGTGTGTGTGTGTGTGTGTGTGTGTGTGTCTTCCCAGGAATTTTCTATGCATGTATCTGTGTACATTTTTTTCATGTAGCTAATTATCTTGGTTATCTCTTCATATCAGTACATAAAGCAATATTTTAGTCTTCTAATGACTGTTAAAACATTCCACTGTAATGGAGTAACATGATTTATTCAGTTCCCATTAATTTATATTTAGATAGTTTCCAGAAACTTAAACAATTCTGCTATGAATATATATCTACATTTATTTTTGCATACTTCCCATACTGATAGGACAGATTTCTTGCTGGAGCATTTCAGGGTTAAAATATATATATACATTCATTTCTTTTAAACATGTTTTTTCTTAAATTGCCATCCCTAAAGTGGGTTTTCACATTGGCACAAATAACATAAAGGTCCAAATAGGCTGTTCACACTTTAAAATTTATAATGAACTCCAGGATAATATGGTATCAACTTCTATATTGTGGGCATAAAATGGCAATTTGCCAAAGATGAATATTTTATTTTTCATTAATACTTTATTCTTGAGCTAGGCTAACCTTTGTCCACTTATAGTTTCAAGTCAATAACATGACTTATGTGTATTTTTCCATGACTTAATGAAAAGAAGCTAATGTTTAAAATAACAAATTTGGTTAATTCTTTGTTCTGGCTGCTTCTCAGGCTATTTCTTCTACCTGGAAAAATCTACTTCAGTCTTGCATGTCTAAATTCCACCTATTCTTTATGGTTTGTTTCAAATATTCTCTCCTTTATCTAAATAGTGTTTCCTTCCTCAGAAATTTCTACACTTCTATTTAACCCTTTTCTAGTAAACATTTTACATTTTAAGTCTCCAATCACTGTTGCTATCATTATTAACAGACTTCAAATCTCCTCAAATCTATAAATGTTCTTATACTCCCTTGTCTCCCTTTCCTGGCTCCATGGATCGATTTAAATTAAACTATAAGTTCAGTATTATTTTACTAGTTTCATTTCCTTTTAAAATGTTCTAAATTTTTGTTTTTAAGATCAACCAATTGAAATATTTTCATCCTAAATTTTCAGAATTTCTAACAGTGAACAATGTTCTATAAGTGCCTCTTTGGAATTCAGTTCATAAACAAATGCAACTTTAAATACTGAGAGTTAAATCTGACACACTGGTGAGAGCAAGCGTGGATGCTATCATATTAAAGGCCTTTGGAGGCAGGCTAGCATAGTTTACACGCCATTGAGCCTATTTATAGAACTGACTCCTTTTTGCAATGTCAACTGTAACATTACACTTATTTTAAGCCTCAGTATCTCAAATATCAGCCCCTACTAGTTGTATAGTTCTCTCTTATTTGATATCAGAGAGCCCAATGGAGCCTTCTGAAGTACCCACTCAGATTAGCAAAGATAATTTTTTAGAAGTTCCTAATTTATCTGATTCTGTTTGTGAAGATGAAGACGTTGGAGATACCTTCAAGCCCGGCTTCTCTCCTCAACCCAGTAGGCGAGGTTCTGAATCTTCTGAAGACATGTACCTGGACACCCCAACTTCAGGTACCAGAAGAGTTTCATTTGCTGACACCTTTGGATTCAATCTTGTGTCCATTAAAGAATTTGATTGCTGGGAATTACCGAGTGTTTCAACCAATTTTGACTTAAAGAAGGATGTTTTCCATACTGAAGAGTATGTACTATCTCCACTCTTTGATTTGCCTTCTTCAAAAGAAGATCTCATGCAACAACTTCAAGAACAGAAAGCGATATTAGAGTCAACTGAGTATCTTCCTGGGTCTACAAGTATGAAAGGCATTATTCGAGTTTTGAATATTTCTTTTGAGAAGTTAGTATATGTGAGAATGTCCTTAGATGACTGGCAGACACATTATGACATTTTAGCAGAATATGTTCCTAATTCATGTGATGGTGAAACTGATCAGTTCTCCTTTAAGATTTCATTAGTTCCTCCTTATCAAAAAGATGGCAGTAAAGTTGAATTTTGTATACGTTATGAAACTTCTGTTGGTACATTTTGGTCAAATAATAATGGCACAAATTATGCACTGGTTTGTCAAAAGAAAGAACAAGAGCCAGAGCCTGTGAAGCCACCGGAAGAAGTTTCTAATAGACAAATAAAAGGCTGCTTAAAGGTAAAATCAAGGTGAGGATATATCTTGCAATTATTTGTTATTCATTATCTTGAAAGATTTTAATGCTGTCCTTTATATCACATGCTGTAGGAAATAGTTAATTTACAAAAGATATACTGCTTGCTATGTAAAACAGTGGTTTCAGGCTTAACAAGGTCAATGCTGGTCAAATAGTTCTGTTATTTCTTCTATAAATGTGAAGGAAAAATGGGTATAAAGTAATAGATGATGGGGGAACTGTAATATGTGTATTACTTGCTTAATGAGTTATAAATTAATTTTAAACCATGAAATTCAGACTCTTCATAAGCTATTTATTTTGACATTTAAAGTATATTTATTTTTAGTACTTTTAAAGTGTCTGTGCTCTACTTTGAAACATTTCTGATTAACATAAAACTATATATTCAGTATGTACACAGTTATCAGAAACTTGTAGACCTTTCCCAAAAATGAAAACAAATATTTTAATGACTAATTGAGGTATATAGGGAATTTTGGAGTGATACATGTTAAGTTAAATCATAAGAGATAATACTTAAATTATAAACTAGCAGAATGATGTTAAGTATGTGAATGATATATAAATTACATATAATTTATAATTATAACCAAATGTAAGATTATGGGACCCAAATTAGTATAATTCACTAAAAGTAAATGGAGCAGAATAAAATATGACCCAAATAGAAATAAGGATATTCAGCTATATAGATTAGAGATTTGGGATGTGACCCCTCATTAGTAACCCTGCTCTCCTATTAATGTGAAAAAAAAAATCCCTGGAATTCAGCTCTCTCGATAGTGCAGTGTTGGCTAAGTTCCATGACACTGGGTTAGTAGATAAAGTATTCAGGAGGAGTTAGTTTCCTTCTGCTCTGCACAGTGTCCCGAAGGACAAGTCCATACTGCTCCTCTCGCCATAGGCAAATATTTGATTATCCTCTGAGTGATCTATTCTAACTGTCCCTAAACATAAAGAGTTTAGTAACTGTATCAGAAATAATGTAATACGATGAAAAGGGAAGGGTAGTAGGAATAAAAACACCCAGATTTTAGTTCTCTATGTAGAATTTAGTGAAAAAAACCTATAAGCTATGACATTGGAACTTTTTAACCTCTTTTTGTTTTAATGTATATGACAATAAATAGTAACTACTAAATGTGTTGTTTTAATGCATTAATGAACTAAATGTAGTGTAGGTTGAAGCAATCCCAGCATATGAAGTATTTTTACTTTCATTTTCTTTTAAAGTTATTTGAAAGAGTAACTTAATGAACTTTGTGAATTGTGTCAACTCTCTTAGTCCAAATCCAACTTTTTCCGATTTTAACTGATGCTGTTAAGAGAGCTAATAGAATCATAATTATATATATGTGAAAACAATAGTTAAATGTTTATAAACTTACTCAATAGCATACTCACTGTAGAAACAAAATAATGCTATTTAGCACACTAATTTCTCTACATACACTTGCATATATTAAATACTTTATGCATGAGATAATCATCAGTGAATATCTGTTAAACATGCTGCAGTTTGCTCTGTATGTGAGAGCAAACAGAATTTAAGAAAGGTATAGCCTTATTGTCAAAGGGTCCATAAAAAAAGCAGCATTTAACTCAGTGGATTTTCCTGCAATTTAAAGATGCAGCTTTATAATGAAAAGGAATCCACACTGAACTATAGTTTAGGTAGGAGATTCCTTTGATATATTAAATTTGGATACCAAAAGCAAAATAAAGGCCTAATATTCTTTCTCAGTCATGATATTATTGGGACTTCTCCTGGTTGAAGATATGTACAACTATCTATACCTGCACAGACATTTGTATTCAGAACAGTCATCAATGGATTCATAGCGGACACCATTCAAGTTTTAATATTGCTTTGGGGAAAAACCTGAGAAGAACTAAACCACAAAATGGTCTAAAGGCCTGTAAAGTTTCCTAATGAGTTATAAAAATGGAAAAAATCTCTCTCCTTCAAAACCACAAATACATTTTCTGCACTTCTATAACTTAAAAATGACCAACATAATTCAAACCACACTTTGAAAAAAGCATTTGCCTCTGGAGGAGGCTTTTTGTGCTGAGTTTCAGTCCAACATGAATTTTTACATCTGATTTATATACCACTCAAAATGGAGTGTATAAAGGAAATCCTGACAGATCCTTAGAACAGCATGTGCCATAATAGAATATTTATACAGCTTTTCCATGATATAATTTATATGCAATGGGGTTTCAAATATTCCTAAAACTCACACAAGAGAGCATTATCAAATTTCTAAATGAATATAGCAGTTGGATTTCATTGCGAAGAATTTGAGAATAGAGAAAAAGAGCACACCTTATTAGTGTTATTTCACAAAATGTGTACTTGGCTAAAATTAAAGTGAACTAACACATTTGATAAAAATTCTAGATTCTACAATGCCTTCCTCCTTCCACATAGTTACAATATCTAAAAGTGTCTCTTATTGAGTGTTTGTACATTTCTTATGTAATTGGAAGTCATTTCTTTCAAAGTATAAAAACAGAAGAGAAATGTATGTGAATTTTTGCTTCATACATGCAAGTAGATTAATAATATTGTGCAACATAATTCTGAGTTAAAATGAAAATTGTCTGTCCTGGTGCACAGAGCAACATCTAACTTCAATTACTCTTAATGCCAAAGTTAATTTGCTATCAGGATCCTGAGATTGTATCTTCTGAAAGTGTCAATAATCCCTTGTAATAAGTATGGGATGAACTGTGGGAACACTGTGCGGTAGGATTTCTGTTATGTCAATCATTCATCCAAGCCATGTGTTTTCTCTATGGAGATTTTTCTCAGGTCAAGTTTGGCAAATCTTCACATTGGTGTGGACTTTTTATTTTCTTTTGATGCTTGTTAATTTAACCACTTTGGACAGAAATATATATTATATATATATATATATATATATATATATATAGAGAGAGAGAGAGAGAGAGAGAGAGAGAGGGAGAGAGAGAGAGAGAGGAAAGCAGAGTCTGTAACTGAGAGGCATGTGACTGAGAATGACCCAAAGTATTTAATTGCACTGAAAGGCATGCATCATGAGATACTTGTTAAGTATCACCACATATCCAGCACTGGACTATGTGCTAGCAAACAAACTAAGCTACTAAATGGATCTACATTCCATGGGGTTTGTTTGAAAATGTATGACAAGAAAGACATAGATATAAATCATATTAAATGCACATAGATAAATAAGCATAAAATAGCATGAAGAAATGGTATACTCTCAAAATGAAAAATTATAGACTTCATAAATATTTTTGTGTTTGATTTCTAACTTTACTATACGTGAACTTGGGCAAGTTAAGTTTGGTTTCCTTGTCTATTACTTGGGAATAAAAGTGGTTGTGCCCCATAAGGGTTTGAGATTTCCATGAGGTAATACACATAAACTTTTGATGTAGTGTCTCAAACACAGGAAGTTATCAATGAATATTGGCTGCCATAAAAAGGCAATGCTAACTCAAACTTTAGGAATATTTGAAAAACTCCGTTAAGGCTTAAGTTCCCTCTAAGTCCATTTTCAATTTCTTTTCAGGTTTCCTGAATTTTCAGGTTTGAAAAGTCATTCCTTTGTCTTTTGCAAGATTTTTTTTCCAGCACTAGGAATTGAACCCAGGACCCTGTGCATGTGAAACAAGCACTATATCACTGAGCTATACCCGCAACCCTCTTGCAGCTTTGGAATCAACAAGCAAACTGAACTGTAAATTTTCCTGAGATATGTGTGACCTTATATCTGGAGCACCTTAAAACTGGAAGAGAACTTAGCAACCATTAAAATTTTACACATGAAAAATGAAGTAACAGACTAGAAAGTGTAAAAAAAAAGGCATTACTTTTGGCATGGAAAGGATGTGCATATTAATACCAGCAAAACATATGCTTAATAACTATGTGGTTACGGACTTATTTATTTCTCAAAGCCTCAGTTAAGTTACTAGTCAAATAAGGGGTTCTAAAGTCTATGTTGTGATGATTAAGGTAAAATGAGATTATATTTTTAAAGTTTCTCATAGAGTGTTGGGTGCATATAATCATCAAAAGCTAACTATCACCATGGTCATCATCATTACCAAACCTTGTCCAGCTGACTAATTTCCTGATTCTTGGACTTGCACTGTTTCTCCAGACATTGTAGGTTTCCTTGTTCAAGTTCCAAAACAAATTGAACACATGTTTCTTAAGGACCTGTGTGCCAGGTCCTATGTTTAGGCAGCAGTGTCCAATTGAGAAGTGTGCCTAGAGACATGGGCCTATGAGGACAAGGAAAGTCCCCAAGACAGAGGAAAACAACAAACACAAGCTCAGGTTATCTGGATATACAATAGAAGCCACATATTTCAAAATATAAGAAATACTTATATTTTAGCTTTTCTCAAATGTGTGATCTATAACTGACCTTGGATGATGGCTAGGAGAGTGGCCTCCTCAGCACTTTGTTTTTTTTCTCCTCCACCATCTTAATGTATGTTCTCAACTGTTGGGTACACAGGTTGACTTCATCTGGTTTTGTATTTTATTAAGTGAAACCAATTTATTATTTTAACCAAAGAAACAGCATGATATAGGTGTTGGATGGTTTTTATAACTTGGCCAGGTTAATGCAAATATAACCCTAGATGACTTTAATGCCAAGGGAAAAAAAATGATTAGTACTCAATATTTCTTTTCTTTTGTACTAGAGTAATAGAACCAGGCACATTCAGGAAAGGGACAAATTTTTTTTTAAAAGCATATTTTAAGAATGTGGAGAGTTTATCTTCCAGGATGGTAAAATTGTTAAATGAGGCTAAGAAAAGCATTGGAAAATGGGGCACAAGATATGGCCATGTTACAAGTTCCAGATAGAGCCATTGGATTGTGAGACTTCCTTCATTTACCAGTATAGCATAATCTGGGGTCCTGGAAATAGTCCAAAGAGGTGTAAATGTCTCCATGAGGCCTCTGGGACCTAA